GAAAATAGTTTGGGGACACTGATTGCAGTAGTGGGGAAGAGCCAGCTGCTCTGGCTGCAGTGCTAGTGTTCGTTCACCGCTCCATAGTGGGGGTTTGTCTTCGCTCTGTGGAAGATCAATGCTACCACGATCGATGTGGACCTGAAGTTTGAGTTAGCGCATCTAGTTTAGACTTGCTAAATGGAACACAGAAAGCACTCCTCCGAGCATCTGGTACTCCTGCTCTTGCGAGGAGTAAGGGAAGCCAAGGTGAGCATTTTCTCCCATCGGCCTCCCATTGTGGGGATGCCGCCAAGCTCAGCTTAAAGTAAGCCAACTCCAGCTACTTATTCTATATAGCAGAAGTTGTGTACCTTAAACTGGGCTGCTAGTTCTAGACCGGTACATGAGTAGTTCCATTGACTTCAGTGGGATTCTTCACAAAAGGTACCCCTTACAACAGGGGTGGACAATAATTTTTTATGTGGGAGCACGCCAAGATTTTGGTAAGTGGTCAAGGACCACACTTTTCTATGGAGGGGGTGTGAGGCCTGGGATGGCAACTGGGTGCAGAAGAGGGCTCAGAGTAGGGGACTGTGGTACAGGAGAAGGTGTGAGGTATGGGAGGGAGTTTGAATGAAGGAAGGGATTGTGATCTGAGGCAGAGGCTTGGGGTACAGGGCCTTGGAGGGGATCTGGGTGCAGGAAGGGATTCTGGCTTAGGGCTGAAGTGTAGGAGAGGGAGCAGGGTCTAGGAGGGAGCTGTGACCTAAGGGTGGGGAGGTACAGAGGGTTTGGGTAATGATCTGGGTCAGGGGAATGAGGTACAGGGTCTGGGAAAGGGTATGGGTGCAAAGAGGATTATGGTCTGGGAGAAGAGTATTGAAGGGGGTGCAAGGTCTGGGAGGGAGTTGTGACTTCCTAGGCGCTTACCTAAGTGGCTCCTGGCCAGCAGACCTGCAGGACTCTGAGGTAGCCTCCCTGCCTGCTGCATCCTCAGGCTGCTCACAATAGCTGGCTGCTCCCTGTGGCTCTCTGCTCTGGGTGCTGAAGGGGAAGGGAGGCTTTGCACACTGCCCTCATCCCCCAGCATAATCTCTCAGCCAGTGGGAGCTAAGAGATTTTTCTGGGGAGTAGGGGCAGCACGCAAAGCCTCTTCCTTCCCCTGGTGCCTGGAGCAGAGAGCCACGGGGAGTATCCAGCTGCTCAAAGTGGCCTAAGGTTGCTCTGAAGTGGCTGGCTGCTCTGTGCCTGAGAGTCCCAGTGGGTCGGGCAGCCCTCGCGCTGGATCCAGTAGCTTGGTGGACCAGATCTGGCATACCCCTGCCTTACAAACATAGATTTGAAATATCTAATCCCTTAAAAAAAGGTTCCAAGTTCCATCCCCCAGTTTGACAGGGAAGAGTTCTGCCAGTCTTCTGCCGGTGAAAGTGTAGCTTCCTCCTGCCTCACAGACAGTAGTTATCTTTAGCTGGAGATACCAGGGACTAAGATGTCCCAAACACAGTCTAAAATAAAAGCCCTTTTTATATTATCTATTCTTCCAACCCAAATTACGTGCTCTACAGCACCATCTGAAACAGACCCAAAGTCTCTTTCACCCTAGAACAAAGTTCATTTCTCTTCTCTTCCTCCACCCTCCATTTTGTGGATAGGTTTCCATTTAATTTGAGATGCAATGCATGTAAGGAATTTGATGTGACTTTTCCTGTTTACTTCAATGGAAATGTAAATAAGAGAAGACTGTATTAAGGGTTTTTAAATACTAGGACACCACGATAGAAAGGAGTGGTGATTGTCACAGTTCATGAATATAAATAGATACCTAAATAGATGTGGTGAGAATATACTATAAATGTAACAAAGGCACCTGTGTTATGTATCGCTCCCCTGTTTTATAATCGGTAACTAAATAACCTGCTTTTAGCCCTTAATCCAAACGTAATAGGGAACCACTGATGAATTATCTGTATAAGTTGCCAGTCCATTCATGCCGTTTTTATTTTTAAAAATTATTCCCCACCCTGTGGCTCTCTGTTTTAAAATACATTTCCATATCCTTCCTTAAAATTAAGGACTTTGTCCTCGTATGGCATTTCATTGATTTTAAGTCTTCCAAGTAAAGAGGAACTTCCAAACTGGAGCAAACAAGGAAGAAAAGAACATTTTGTACAATGTGGCCTGACCAGTTGTATGCCACGTTCACAGATGATTGTGACTAAGAATTTATTAATTCACAGTCCTTCAGCTCTCACGCAATCCTGCAGGGAGGTTTCAATCCATAGCTTGCAATAGCTTGGTCTTTTACCACTTACAACTGTTTTAATGTAATGTCAGAAATTCAGTACATTGCAAGTACATGTTAGAACATTACACTGTCCACAAGATGGTGAGCAGGACCTGTGGGGGGGAGGGATAGCTCAGTGGTTTGAGCATCAGCCTGCTAAACCCAGAGTTCAATCCTTGAGGGGCTATTTAGGGATCTGGGGCAAATCTCTCAGGGATGGTTCTTGGTCCTGCCTTGTGGTCAAGGGAGTGAATTCAATGACCTCTCAAGGTCCTTTCCAGCTCCATGAGATAGGTATATCTCCATATATACTGTCATTCAGCCACTCAGCTGGCCAGTCCTACTTTGCTACAT